AATGCCCTCTGGGGTGACATTGCTCCTTCGCGTTGGCTCTGTCTGTCAGTGCAGATTGCGGCCCGAGTCGCCGCGCATGAGCGTTTCCTACGAAGGCAAACGACATAAGTCTTATCAAGTCTTCAAGGACCAGCTCACGGCGAGTTCGTTTTGGTCTGACAGCAAGCAGATCGCAACACCGCTGTGGGTGCTCGGGTCTTAGGAGCCGTGCATGGAATGCGTGAGCTGTTTGAAACAAGATGCAGCTTTCCAGACTCTGTGTGTGCGCTGGAGGGGTTTTCTTTGCAACGGTTCACCCTTCCAGTCGCACCTGGACAAACTAAACTTCGGTGCGCAATGATCCAGCGTCCCCTGTAGGAGCTTGACAACTGTAGCACCCGAAGATGATTTGAGTCATCTCAAGTCGAAACATGGAAACGAATTTGGTGGTTCGGGAGTGGCAAATGCAAGGCATCTGTCAGCCAGAGGCTGACGCCAATGAACATAGATCAGGCACCGCACCAGTACTGGCGACACCGAAAGTGCAACTTCTACAAGCGTACATCGGCAGCAACTTTGACATGTGCTCACATGCCCCGCAAATCTAAACAAACATGGCACGACAGACTACCAGCCCAGCAAGGACGTCAATCGTGTCCTCACTGGACGATGCGAGTCAAGTCTGGCATCACATTTGGATGCTCGCCATGCCATTCGTCGAGCAAAAACTTTCAAGCGTGCTCTCTTTCTGGAGCGTCGCTTGTTCCAAAACATTGAGGACTTCTTCGAAGCCGCTCCGGCGTGCTAGGTCCTCCGGGGTGAGGCCCCGCCGCGTCTTCACGTTGCGCCGCGCGCCCAGGAGCAGCAAAGCTTTGACAATCGCAGGCTTGTTCTGGGAGACCGCCACATGCAATGGGTATCCTGCACACTACGTGGCAAAGCCAAGCAATCGCCATGGCTGCTACAGTGTATTCCCTGAATCTGAAACACGTGGGTGCTGCAACTCCCATGCTTCTGCCAAGATACGGGTGCGACCCCACGAATGCTGGGCTTCGTTGATGTGCATGAAGCCGTTAGCCTGCAAGAAGGTCTTCGCCATCATCTTGAGTTTGTAGTCCCGGGTGGCAGGGTGCCAAGTCCTCGGACGAGGCAAGGTGCCTTCCTTTCGCTCTGGGCTGCCCTCGCTGGTCTCCCAACTTCCCGTCTGGGTGGAGGAGAAGGACTGCTCCCTGTACATCTCCGGCTCGGAAGGGAATCCTGCAGCGATCTGGCACTTCAGCTACGAGCGGTTAAACCACAGAAGCTTGCCAACTTCACACCCGAATCCAGCGACCGTCTACCTTTCCACAGTCAGCCTCAGCTTGCGCTTGGGCATCTGTGACAATGAAACAAACAAACACACAAACAAGCAAACGAACGAACAAACAACATAAAGCAATCAA